CAGTGATGCTAATAAAGCTAGTTGGGAGTCAATCAGTTCTGTAGGAGAAGCTTTTAGAATCGATGGAGCAAAATCAACCTTGTCTATGTGTCGGAGTCAATTTTTTTCCTGCTCTGGAGAGATGGAATGGGAGCCTCTCCACCTGTCACAGCTTTTCCCCACAAGAGGTTGGCTTTAAGATGGGGAATCCTGTAATTTCTTGCCTTAGGCGTATACACATTTGACACATCCTGTCCCTCATCTAGGCAGAGTAGGCACAAGGAATGGTTGTGTGATTGTGATATTTCTTCCTTCATACTGGGAACCTTTTAAAAATATTACTTGTGCTATAACGACAGAATAAAAAAATACAGTAAAAGCTTTATTATCCATTACTCATGGGGAATGGGGGTTGCCAGTCAACCAAACATGCTGGGTACTTGAGCTTATTGCTCTACTCCACCCTCTGCCCCAAGGAATCCATGGCACCTAAACCCCACCCCACTGAGAACACCATGGCTGTCCTACATAGCATACAGACAAGAAGACCAGCTGCCCAGAGCTCTCTGGCATAGCTGGCTCTTAACAGCTTAAGGCAGGCTGCAAGGGAAGGTGGCACACGAGGGTATCAGCCAGCACCTAGCAAGAGCTGGAAATATCAAGGTGGTGGGCTGTAGAGGTAGGAATGGGGTACACACACTTGAAGATGCAGGGGTATAGTGGCTGAGGAGAAACAGCTTTCCCTCTGGGCAATGCTGGATAAATGAGCATTCTGGATAATCAAGTAGTTTACAGCTTGTACTGTAACTTCATTTTTATGTTGATTTTTTGGTAGAAATAATCATCTATTTGCTTACATCTGATGAGATACTCCAAAAATATATTCTCTATATAATAGCAAACAGAAAACTGAAGGATAAAGCCCCATCCATGCAACATGAAGGCAAGAAAAGCCACTGGAACAAGGAGACTGCATCACACTTCAATGATCCTGGATTCCACATCAATAGTAGCCAGGATTTCCCCCCCCCCTCTGTTGGGGGGCATTTAAATTCCTTAAGGGGCAGTTAATTTAATTAAAGTTGAGAAAAGAAATCCTGCCTAAAGGGAAAGCTCTATCAACTACTATTACCCCACCCCCGAACCTCTCCAGCAGTACTGCAAGTTGCAGTCGGCAACATTAAAAAGACTGTAAGGAAGCTTCGTTAAAGGGACTGTAAAAGGAAGCCACACATCCATCGATTCCATCCAAGAGAGCAATTTGAAGGCTAGCAAATCTGGAAGGGGGAAGGGGGAGAAGCACTCTAAAACAGTAAAACAGCCCCCCACAGGCTACTCATCCCCAACCACCCCAAAAACCAGGCCTCACCCCACCCTGCAAAAAATCCACCCACCAAGCAACTAGCCTATAAAATACCAAAAATGGAGGAGGAGCTCTGTTGGTTCTGCCAAGGCTGACGACTGTTGCAATCCTGAATTGCCAACGAGGAATAAACATGGAGAGAGCAACTGCAAGGCTAGTAACAGCCCGCCCCCCTCCCCAGCTCGGCCCCACAGCAAGCGCGGTTGTCGCCCGGTTGCCTCAGGCTCCCTCCCCTTCCTCGGGGACGGGAGGGGGGACTGGGAGGGGTGGGGGGTGCTTCAAATTTGATAGGGGTGCCTTCCCATGCACCGCACTGCTGCCTACATATGCACCGCACTGCTGCCTGTACATATGTAAGTCCCATGTGGGACCTCAACACTGAAGAACTAGCATATCAGAGAGATAAATAAGTTTGAACCCTTATCACCTTCATATAGGAAACTAGCACTGCAAGGAGGTTTTGTGTATGGAAAATCCCGCCATGTTCTCATCAACGCTTATTCAAGCTATTTTTAATGGTTGGGTTTTTGTTCTGTAGGATTTAAAATGAGTATCCACCTTTGAGACTGCAGTCAGAAGGAGAAAAGTGACAGAGGGGGGGCACTCTTCCCAAGCTCCCTTCATTCATATAAATCCCCTTCCTAAAATCTTCTCTCAAGAAGAAAAGCAGCTTGGACGGCTGTATTGTATGAACAAGCAACCAGAGGTGAACGGGGTTTTATTAAGCCTTCATCTTTCTTCAATGATGTGGAGTTTTAGAAAAAGGTGGATTGGAAAAATTTTCTAATTTTCCAAGTAGAACTAGACTTGATTTAGCATGTTTAGTGCCCTTTATATTCAGTAAACAAAACTGTAATATCCCCATGCTGCTTTTATATCCTAACAGAAAATTGTTAACTGTAATATTTATTAGGGAGGGGGGGAAAGCAAAGCACTTCAAGGGCCATGGTACATAATTTGTAGGTTATTAACTACACTAAAATCCAGATAACATCAGCCCTTCACCAACTGGTCTTCCTCAGTGCAAGGTTAATAAGAGTTGAGAGCTGCACCAAACCAGATCCTCTATGTTTATCTTGCCTCTTCTCAAAGGAGCTCAGAGCAACATATATCTTTACCAGTGTTCCCTCTAAGCTGAGATAGTGTGAGCTAGCTCAGAATTTTAGCCTCCAGCGCAGAGATTTTTGTCGTAGCTCAGGAAGGATGGCTCCAGAATAAACTAATGTATGCAGTAGCCAAATTGCTCGCTCACAACTTTAATGCCAGTAGCTCACAAAGTAGAATTTTTGCTCACAAGACTCCACAGCTTAGAGGGAGCATGGCTCCCTACCCACTCTGCATCCTGCCTATACTGTGAGGCAGACTGGACTGGGACATGATGACTGACCCTAGTTAGGGTTGGTATACCAGCCAGTTGATCAGTCTACTGACTGGTTATTTAACTATAGTCAAATATCCCTGAAACCAAGAACTCTATTATGTAGCTTGCAGCATAGTTTTGTCTCCACTGCAGGAGACTGAAGAAGAGAAGATTTATACCCTGTCCTTCACTCGGAGTCTCAGAGTGGCTTACAATCTCCTTTCCCTTCCCCTCCCCACAACAGACACCCTGTGAGGTAGGTGGGGCTGAGAGAGCTCTTTTGAGAACTGCTTGTGAAAGAACAGCTCTGAGAGAACTTGTGACTGCTTTTAAGTTAAGGAACATTTTATTGGGAACATTTGGCTGTACAATTTCAGGAGAATATATAGTTGACCAGAGAGAAGTACTAGTGGACATGTGATTGCACTGGAGGCTTCATTTGTATTTTTGTATTTCTTTTCTTTGCCCAGTGGTTAAACTTTGGAACAATTGTTTTCTGGTCTTTATTCCATATTTTGTATATGTATGATTGTATATATTTTTACATATCAGCCAACATGTTCTATTTGTATTAGACCTCTGAGGAAGGCCTGTAAAGGCCGAAACGCGTTAGGTCTATTTCATTAGCCCTTGTATGTTTTTATATTTGTATATGACGTATGAATGGGCCCTTGTTTGTTATTTTAATTTGTGTTGAATAAATACATGTATATTTTTGTATGTTTCATAATTAGATTTTTAGAGCTGGCCCTCTTCTATTCTTGACTAACCTTTTTAGGTTCTGAATTCTAGGTTTTAGGTTCAGTTTTTTTCCCTTTTCTCTTTTTTGTCCTTACTGACCCAAGGTCACACCAGCAGCTGCATGTGGAAGAGTGGGGAATCAAACCTGGTTCTCCCACAGAGTCTACACTCTTAACCACTACACCAAACTGGCTTGGCTAGGAACTTCCCAACATTTTGCAATTGCCCTCCATGGCAGCTATTTTACCTTGGTGCCCACTATTCTTTTTCAAAATTCCAACATTTCCACAGGCTCACGTCATGGACCTGACCCAGCTGCACTGCAGATCTCCTACTCACTGTCAAATAGAACTGCAGGCCTCTTCAAATAGGGGGGAAACCCTGTCTGTTCTTAGAACTATTAGCTTTAAAATGCAGGTTTGTTTGCATTTTAAATAGTAGCATTTGCTTTACTTTATTTCTGTTTTAAGTTCATTTTTTACAAATGAAACAGTAAGCTGACTATGATGTTTCAGGACAAAAGCTGAACAGAAGTATTCAGTGAATCACTTCACAGAAACCTCACCCATGCAACTAGTGCAGCTGAAGAAGTGGTTTGGGTATTCAGCTCTCTACTGTTCTGGATGTAACTGCACTTCCGCTAAAGGAGTGGGTCCTCAGCTTGGGGGTGACTGCTAGGCCTGGGTATCCTGTTCGATAAACAGGTGGCAGTGGTGGCCAGGAACACCATCCACCAGATTTAGCTGGTGAGCCAGCTACAACCTTTCCTTGGTAAAAAGATCCTGCCTCTGTAGTGCAAGCTCAGTTAACATCTAGATGGGATTACTCATTTAGCAAAGGAGCGCAGCTATCATATAACCTTGACCGACGAATAGTACACTCCTGTCTGAGATGGTCATCCTTTTCCACCAAGCGCACGGCTTTGGGAGGGACACACATGGAGTGGTAAGGGAGGTAGGGGACACCTGCTTAACCAGCCAGATCAACCAAATCAATCCTGGCGATCAGTGGGGTGACAGATGCCGCAGCTAGATCACCCTCATACCTTAGGCCGGATTACTTTAATACGCTGTATGTGGGGCTTCCCTTGACAGGTGTACAGAAATTACAACTGGTATAGAATGCTGTTGCAAGAACTTTGACAACAGTGGGTTAGAAGGACCATTATCACTCCAGTTTTGTTCCAAATAAACATGCTTCTAATTTCCTTACAGGCCCAATGCAAGGCAGGTATCAACATTTAAAGCCCTATATGACTTGGGACCAATATACCTTAAGAACCGCCCACTCCCATATGAACCTATCTTCATATGTCAGCTTTTGCGGGAAGCCCTGAGGCTATTATCTGAAACTAGATAGAGGGCAACCTAAGAAAGGCTGTTTTCAGTCATGGCAACAAAACTGGAATTCTCTCCCTAGAGATTCATCCATCCCCCTTCTATCATCTTCTGCCAGCGGGTAAAGACCATTGTGAAGTATCAGAAGAGAGCAAACATCAACAGTCACATCTTCTAGTACAGAAAGCAAGCAAGAATGCACAAGAAAAGCCAAACTTACTTGTCTCCTGTTCTGAGCCCTTGCAAGTCTAAGCCTTCGGGCAGAATAAAATATGAAGTACCCCACTGTGGCTGCTGTTACAATGAAGAAGGACACAGAAACAAAGAAGATGGAATAGCTGTTCATCCACGATCCATGCTTTTTGCCCACTTCAATAACCATGGTCACTTGGAAGCCATCCCCGATCCTGCGAAGGATTTCTCTGCCTTTAAAATAGCTGATCATAATAGCAACTGTGTCTCCTGTACCTATAAGAGAAAACAATTCAAACGTTAGCTTCACACACCAAAAGGTGACCAATAACTTGTGAAAGCACATTTAATGTTCTATAGCCCAAGGCACAACACAGCAACAGTGACACAAACTTTTTTGTTTGGCATAGCAACTTCTGTGCTGCATCCCAAAAGCAGGAGTGTGGGTACAAAAGGATGGGTCAGGCCATGGCTGGAAAATGCAGAGGACAGGATTCCATGGAGGGGTTCCCACCAGTACAGCAGTAATTACTTAAAATAAAAATATGGACTGTGGTAGCTCAGAATTTTGCATTTACACCCTTCCCCTTCTCCAATGCTGTCATGCTCCACTAGGATCCTGCTCACAACACATATTTTCGGTCCAAATAGGTATTATTATTATCTTTAGCAATGACATTCTTAAGTGTGTATGCAGTGAGTCTGGCCAAATACAACCCCACTCCTTTTTATTTACTGGCACACCAATATTTTATATTACAGGGTTCCCCCCAAGCATTGGGGCCAAAAATGTTGACTACCCTGCTATTTGCTATTTTTCTTGTTTCATTCCAAAAAAGTTTAAGCAAGCAATGATTACTGCTGAACTGAGCTATGATACTCATCAGCAAACAATGTTAAATTACACTGTAAATGTTATGGCAGCTGAATGAGAATATTACTCTAACACGCCCCCAATCGTAAATTCTTAAGCATAATTAACTTCCACAAAACAGTTACAGCAGCAAGCGGCTGTTTTTCTTGTTTTTAAACTCACATCTTCCTTCTATAAAGTTGGCTACTAGACTAACATTTATTTAATTGTGTGAAGTTACTTAAGTCAGTGCAGACCTTAACTGCTTTATTCAAAAAAAAAAAGTTCAAGCCATTATCAGCCACGCTGAAGTGAAAGCAAGCAGTGCCAGCAGTCACTGAACAGAACCACTCCATCCTTCAGTTCCTTAGGACCAGTGTTCCCTCTAAGCCGAGTTAGTGTGAGCTAGCTCATACTTCTTTAGCCTCTGGCTCACACATTTTTGTCTTTGCTCAGGAAGGATGGCTCCCAAGCAAACTAATTTATGCAGTAGCCAAATCGCTCACTCGCTGCTTTAATGTCAGTAGGTCAAAGTACAATTTTTGCTCACAAGACTCCACAGCTTAGAGGGAGCATCGCTTAGGACAGCTAAAAATCACCACCACCATGTTTAAGATGTCAAACAAGCTTTTATGAATGTTGCTATTCATATCTCAACCTGCACATTCAATTATTCAAGTTCCAGCTATAGAACTAAATTAGTCTTAAAAGTCCAATTGTGTTAATGTGAACGTTTGCTCTATCTGCTAATTGAGACACAGCCCTGAAGCAGCTCAATTTTTTCTGGAATAAAGAAAACAGAGCTGTACTTACCTGTAACTGTTTTTCATCGACCTCTTCTGTGCACACATTGGGACTCTGTTTGCACAGGATTCCTGCCCAGCACATCACGTGCTCCAGTAGCAGGCTCCTCCTTCCCTCAGTTCCCACTAAGCTGCTGAGAGCCCCCCTTCCATGGCACAATAGGCCCTGTGAGAGCTCACAGCGGGGCAGGAGGGAGGGAATGTGGATCTGCACAGATGACGTTGATGAACAACAGTTACAGGTAAGTGCAACTCTGTTTCATCTTCCATCTTATTGTGCAGCCCCACACTTGGACCATTAGCGAGCTATTCACCAGAGAAGGTGGGGTGAGTCTCTCACTGCAACAGAGCCTGTAGAACAGCCTTGCCCACATCTGCTTCTTTCCTTGCCTGAAGGTCTAAAGCAGTGATTCTCAACCTTCCTAATGCCGCGACCCTTTAATACAGTTCCTCATGTTGTGGTGACCCCCAACCATAAAATTATTTTCATTGCTATCATAAGACCATTGAAGATTTGTGTTTTCCGATGGTCTTAGGCGATCTCTGTGAAAGGGTCGTTCGACCCCCAAAGGGGTCGTGACCCACAGGTTGAGAACCGCTGGTCTAAAGCATAGTGCTTCACAAATGTGTCCTCTGTCAACCAGGCTGCCACCTTGCAGATGTCCAACAGGGGAGCTCGTTGATGAAACATGGCAGACAACCCCTGTGCTCGGGTGGAGTGTCCTTTCACATTGAGTGGATACGGCTCTCCAGATGCCATGTAGCAGGAACGGATGGCAGCAACTACCCATCTGGACATGGACTGGGCTGAAGCAGCTTTGCCCTTCTCGGGGCCCCAATAATAAATAAATAGTGCTTTGTTTTTACAGAATGGTTTGGTTCGATCTATACAGTAAAGGAGGGCCCTCCTAATATCAAGGGTATATAGGGCTTTTTCTGCTTCCAAGCTCGGAGTGGGGGAAAATACTGGTAGGACAATTTCCTGTGCTAGGTGAAACTTGGAAACTACCTTATGCAGGAAGTCTAGACTCGGGTGTAGTATGACCCACTCACTGAATATCTTGAGAAAAGGAGGATCAACTCTGAGTGCCGCCAGTTCACTGACTCTTCTAGCCACTAAGAACGCTACCTTCCTTGAGAGTAAAGCTAATAAGCAAGAGGTTAGTGGCTCAAAGGGTGGTTTCATCAGTTTAGCTACCACTAAGGGCCCATGACCACTGTGGGACAATACGAGGTGTCTGAGGGAAAACACTGGACAGTCCCTTTTTAAAAACGCTGAGCCAAATTACGAGCAAAAATAGTACTTCCCTGCACCTCCTCATAAAAAGCAGCAATGGTTGTTAGGTGGGTCTTCACTGAAGACACCGCTAAATTGGTCTGTGCTAATGACAAAAAGTATTCTAAAACTGATAACGGGCAGGTAAAAGGGGATTCACCTTTAGCAGACATCCAGGACTCAAATCCATCCCACTTCCTGTTTGTTCATTTGGGGAGGGTATGGGAAAAGCCAAGAATGGCCCAAAGGAGGAGTTGTGAAAGGTCTGCTCTTACCGGCAATTACACCTCCCTTCCCCCACGGTATTGATGTTATCAGAGCTGTTATGGAAAAAATCCAGATGAGCCCACTTATCAAAGCCCTTCCTTGGAAGGGGAGGGGGGTTGATGATGCCTCCCTCCAATGTTTATAGCAAAACGTCCTCAATGGAGTAGAGACAAAGCACAGAGTGCTTCTAGCAAGCAGCCATGTTCACCAGAACCTGTTTGTTCATTTGGATCAGCACCCACTTGCCTCTGAGAATATCTGAAAAGGAGTTAAGGGCAAATCTTACCACATCAAGTTCCAGGACATTCATATGGGGAGTATTCTGCATTAAAGGCCAGCGGCCCTGCTCCCCAAAACCTTTGCAGTGGGCACCCCAACCCAATGGTGACACATCCATGGTCAGAGTCACCTGGGGAACCCAGAACCCAAACTGGATCCCTGAAAACAAGTTACCGTAATCAAGCCACCACTGCAGAGACCTAACCACCACCCTCCTAGGCATCAAAAAACAGCATTTGGGGGGTGTTTGTTAGGGTCATACTTCTTAAAAAACCAAATTTGCAAAGCTCTGCATGTGCAGTCTTGCTAACGGAATCACCACAGCAGTTGAGAACATAAGCCCTAATAGCCGTCGAATTGCTTTCACTGGCTACCAACATTCTCTAATACAGCTTAACAGCATTGCCTTAATGCTTTTAGTCTTGTCAGCAGGCAAAAAAGCTCCCCCTGTTGAGGGAAGCACCAATGAATTGTGCTCACTGAGAAGGTTCTAGGCAAGATTTTCCCCAATTCACCATTAGGACTAACCTATTACAGGTGGAAATGGTGTGATGAATGTGGTAATTCAGTAGGTCATGACTGAGGCCCACAATAAGTCAATTGTCTAGGTATGGAAAAATAGAAATACAGCTTAACAGCATTGCCTTAATGCTTTTAGCCTTGTCAGCAGGCAAAAAAACTCCCCCTGTTGAGGGAAGCACCAATGAATTATGCTCACTGAGAAGGTTCAAGGCAAGATTTTTCCCAATTCACCATTAGGACTAACCTGTTACAGGTGGAAATGGTGCGATGAATGTGGTAATTCACAGTAGGTCATGACTGGGGCCCACAATAAGTCAATTGTCTAGGTATGGAAAAATAGAGCAACCCTGTGTGCTCTATACTTGGTGAATACTCTCAGCGCAGTAGCAAGACCAAATGGGAGGGACATGTATGCAAACCACTCACCCGGGGCAAAAAACTTGGTCACAGAAGAGAAACCATTCTGAACTTTGAATTTTTTAAAGAACTTGTTTAATATTCTGAGATCCAATATGGGCCTGTGCTCACCATCTTTTTTATCCAGTAGAAAAAAAATCTTGCATGGAAACCCCAGGAGGGAAGCCCGGCTGGGACCCATTCCACTGAGCACTTGCACAGCAAGTTCCCCTAGCTGAACTCTGAGTTCTGGGTAGGAGTTATCCACCACAGTTGAAGCCAGGTGGCAAGGGGGTTGGGACAACAATTCTAACCTGTAACCTTCATGAACTATAGACAAAACTCAACTATCAGAGCTAATCTGGCACCAAGCCTCTGCAAACTGTGCCAGCCTATCCTTAATACTGGGAACATCTGCAACTACTGAGGCAGATAGAACTTTGCTGGCTGTTGGCCCTGATCCCTCTGGGGGTTCTGTTGAGTAGGCCTCAGCCATGGGGTACCATTTCTTTTTGAAAACGGGGATGACTGGAAAGGGCGTTGATGATATACAAATGATAGCTGATGGTGCTATGTCCGACCCCTGTAGAAAGGGATAGCAAAGCCGTGTTGCCTTTGAGATAAGGATTGTCTCTGGGCTGGAGCTGAGGAAAACAAAATCCGTGAACTGGTTGTCTAGTGGTTCTTCTTCATAGTGGAAAGGAACTAATCCGTGGACTGTGAAAAAGAGTTGATCCCTGAAAGGGAAGATCCTCAACTTTACTGCGAGTCTCCAGAGGGAGAGCAGTCTTGCATAGCATGAGTGCCTCCTGAGGACTATAGCAGAGGCCATCAATCTGGCTGATACATCAGCGGCATGTCTGCCCATCCTAATCTCCTG